CACAGCAATTAGGATGGCAATGATCACAAAAACACCCAACTGTTGATAAGGGGGTGGAAAACTGGAATCCTTATGCACTGTTGGTAGGAATGCAAAATGATACAGTGATTTGTCAAAAAATTAAAATAGACCTTATGATCATCAATTCTACTTTTGGGTATATACCCCCAAAATTGAGAGCAAGGCCTCAAAGAGCTGCTTATACACCAGTGTTCACAGCATGAGTCACAATAGCTAAGACAGATGAAAAGACAAACGAACAAAGTGTGTGCATACATGCACAGAAGAGTATTCCACAGGGAAATGACAGACCCGTTACCACAGGGACAGACCTTGAAGGCAGCTAAGGGAATAAGTGACCACAAAAGACAACCGGTGTATGAATTCACCTCTATAAGGTACCTAGCGTAGTCAAACTCACAGACAGACAGTGGTAGAATGGTGATGCCAGAGACCTGGAGGAGGATGAATGGGGAGTTTGATGAGGGCAGCGTTTTTGTTTGTTAGGATGAAAAATATGTTGGGAATGTATGGTGGTGATGATTAGATAGCAATGTGAATGTACTTAATGCTACTGAATTGTGCACTTAAAAATGGCTAAGATGGTAAATTATGCTGTGTATGTATACTTTACCACACCATAATAAATGGAAGTGAAGAATGCACAAGTTCTTCGAGACCATTTTGTGTGAGAGCACAGATAGAACCTGTGGCTGTTTGCACACACGCAGGACAGGCCGTGAAACTGTCCTGTTAAGTTCACACTCTAGTTCTCACATGGAGCTGTAAACAAGGGTCCAGACTGGATGCTTTCTGTTTGTCTTCTCATTTTTACTTTTAAAAGAGTTTCTTCTTCCTAACGCATGCGTGGTGGATGGAGACGCTTGGGTGACACAGCCAGCCCACAACATCACAGCTTCCTGCAAGGCCTCTGGCACTAAGTTGAGTTCTTTTCATTCTCTCACCAATTCAGGGTACTACCACCTGCCACTGCCACCCAACAGAAAGCCAGAATTAAGTGTACAGCTTTTATCATTACATGTTCTTGCAAAATACACATGTATTTTGTTTTCTATGCATGTGTTGTGACTAATATAAGTAGAATAGTTTAGCATCTTGGAGTTTTAAGTTAGCACTGTGCCTCCTTGTGTGCATGATGTCCATGGCCTACTCCCACCACATGTGATGTTCTCACTCTGCCAGGAATGGACGCAGCTCACCTGATACTGTCCCATGTAGGACACAGCAAGGAGTCCTGTGTATATCTGCCAGATGGCCCTGTGGGGATTTGTAACTATAGAGATGCAGGACAGAGCGGACACCCACTGACCCCTTCATTCCGTCTCTGGAAAGGGCCTCTTCTACATCCCTCGGGCAGGAGCCAGCGGGTTTCCAACCCTGCACCCTCCCATCAACACTTGGCACAAATCCAGCTTTCGGATTTCTGCAGTTTAATCAGTATAAAGTGGTCTAACTTCATTTCGTTTTGCATTCCTGACTAGGAATGAATTTGAAATCTCTCTGTCAGCCTTTTCTATTTCCCCTTTGTAAACTGTTTTGCAAATCCTTTGCCCATTTTCCTATAAACGTTAGTGTATTAGTCTCTCATTGCTGATGTTATAAATATCACAAATTCAGTGACTTAAAACACTGTGATTCCAGAGGTCGGAGGTCTGGAACAGGTCTTGCTGGGCTCCGTTCCCTCTGAAGGCTGTGGAGTCTTTTTCCTCATCTGTTTCAGGATGTAGAAGCCCCCACATTCCCTGCCTCTTGGCCCTTCCCTCCACCTCCAAAGGCAGTGGTTTAACATCTCAAGTCCCTTCCTGGCTGACCGTCTGCCCGCCTCCTCCACATTCATAGGACGCTGGAATTACTGAGGGCCCACCTGATCTTCCTACTGAGAAGTCAAGCAGGTGAGTGACTTAATGCCCTCCACAGCCATCACACACCGTGCTGGGCCAGGGACGTATTCTCAGGCTCCAACATTAAGGACATGGGCGTCTCTGGGGGCTGTCATCCTGCCCGCCACTGCATACTTTCTGGATTATTTAGAGGAATTCTATACATGTTCTAGACACTGATGCTTAATGGATTTTGCAAATATCATCTCCTTTCTCTCATTTTCATTCTCCTTTGAAATCTTTAATTTGGTACAATGCAAGTCATGATTTTTTGTCTTAGACATTTCATTTCAGAATTGCTTTTCTGACTTACCTAATAGTATTTTCTCACATATATTTGCCTATTAACTTAATTTTTTAAACTTTCATATTTAAGCCTTTGATCTGTCTATGGTTCACTCTTTGTTCAATTTTATGCAAGTAACTCAGTTTTTGTAACTGACTTTGTAGAACTTTTTGCCTTCCAGAAAGTCAGGCCTTTTTAGCCTTCTTCCTCTCCTTGGTGTTGACACCCTGAGTCTTCAAAACCGTTAGACTCTGGTGAATTTTAAAGATTTACTGAGTTCTTCAAAACTGACCTGGATCCTGATTTGAAATCACATGGTTTTTATCAATTGAGTGAAGAGAAATGACAGATTTATAATTATGAACATATTCTTACTTAAGCATGAACTCATTCTCCCTTTTAATCATATTGTCTTTTGAGTACTGAGTCTTAGCATTGTATTCTTATGCACTCTGACATAGGCCAACTTCAGGGCATTTTACAGGTTTCCGTGCTGTTAATGTCTGGTCTCTTCAAAGAATACTTTGGTTACTGATAGCACAGGAGAGAGTTGCTCATTTGAGACATGATCTTATATCCCCAATACTTCATTAATATTTCATCTGTTCTAGTAAGTTTGGATTCTCTTAGCTTTCTAGAATAGATTATCACATTTCCTGTAAATAACAACAGTTTCATTTCCTGTTTTTAGATCTTTTCTCTCTTCTCTTTAATATTCCCTGTGCAATGGCAAAGACATCTAGTGCTAGGCAAAACCAAAGCCATCACCCTGGTTTTGCTCTTAATCTTCTCCACCAGGTATAATGCTTGAGGGATTTTCCTACCATCTTCAGCAACTTTGGGAGATTGTTTTTCTAGTTCTGCTTTAAGAGCTCTTGTCATTAACAGGTATTACGCTTCCCCATGCATTCTGTGTTGACTCAGTGGACTATGCTATTTTTCTCCAGTAATCGATAAAGCAGTCATTTGCACTGATACAAATTCTGTTGAACCAGCCTTGAAGTCTTAAGATAAACTATTAAATCACAATGCTTTAATTTAGAATAGTCTTAAATGTACCTCTAAGTTTAATGCATTAATGTTTTATATTGAATTTTTAAGTACAGTCTCTAACAAAATGGACCTGTTCTTTCTTTTGCATTATTAAACTTGTGTAACACTGCAGTCAGGATTACCTCTGTATCACATGCCGTGTTGGCAGCCAAACTGTCTAAGCTAGAAATTGAGTGTTCCTTAAAGTTGAGTGCAATTCACCCAGAAAACTATGTGTGAGAACGTTTTTTGAATGGGAATTTTTGACTTTCATTTAAATTCCTTTAATATTTATCAGCCTATTCAAATTCTCAATATCTATTTCTATTTTGGACTCATATTTTCCTAGTAGGTTATCAGTTTCAAATAAGTTGTCAAATGTGTTAACATACAGTTATTCACAGTATTCTAGTTTTTCTTCTCTTGTATCTGCAGTTATCTCTCCTTAGTCTTTGTTCCCCTGTCACTAGCATCGTCTCTCCTTTTCACTGGTCAATCCTATGAAAGGCATGTTGAATCTTACCAGAACAAGACAAGCCTTGTGAATCATCTTCTTTTTTCTGCATTCTCTATTTCTGACTTCCGCCCGTTCCTTTATTATTTCCTACCTTATTGGTTCCTTGGGTTTGCTCCATTGCTCCTTTTTCAACTTCTTGACTTGGCTTACCTTGGCATTTTTAATTTTTCAGGTTTCTTAACGTCCTTCTCAGCACTGATTCAGCTGGGTCACTTCATTTAGATATATACTGCTTCATGTTAATTTTTTTCTTTTTTAAAAAATGGTTTATTTATTTGAAAGGTAGCACATGAGAGAGAGAGACAGATAGACAGAGAGAGATCAATCTTCTATCTGCTGGTTCACTCCCCAAATGACCGCAACAGCCAGGGCTGGGCCAAGCTGAAGCCAGGAGCCAGGAACTCCATCTGGGTCTCCCACATGGGTCTCAGGGGCTCAAGTACCTGGGCAGTGATCTTCTGCTTCATAATCACTCAACTCTAAGTCCTTAAGTTCTCTTAATTTTATTTGTAACACAAGAGATTTTTATAACATTATTTATATAAGCTATTCCTTTATCATTAATTTTCTGGTGGAAGCTAATGTAATGTAGGATGGAAAACACACCTCACATGACACATTGTCAGACTCTCCTGAGACAGACACACACTCTGGTTTTGTAAAAATTCTCTGGATGCTTGAAGAGTTAACATTTAGGGTTCAAAATAAACCTAACACAAACTTACCCATTATATTAAGACACTGATATTCCAGCTTGTTTTTTGTTGGCCTAGTTTTCGCAGTGGGGAAAAATCCCCAAATATAGCTGTTCACTCACCCAACTTTTCTTGCAGGTAAGTTACAGAGCTAGCCCTTGGTGGCAGCAGTGCCAGCCATACTGAAGTCTGCAGGGTGTCAGAGCACACAGCACACCCCCACTCCTGCTGCTGCCCTGGCCAGCCTCTCACAGCCCACTCCTCCTAAACACGCTCCCAGCAGCTGGCTCTTCCTTCCTGAAGCCAGTGCTTCCCCTTGCTCCCCTCAGTTCTCCAAGGTAGTGCTTCAGCAGGAAGTGGGCCCCAGCCAGGCCCCAGCTACTGCAAACAGGAATCCCTGGTTTTCTCCAGGCTGTACACGGGATAACCTTCAGGGCACATCTTGGAGGGAAGCAGGGTAAAGGGTAGTTTTGTTCCTCCTTACATGTATGTCACTCATGGTTGAGTCTGACTTTGTCACATACTCTCATGGTACAAAAGCAAACAAAAGACATCTTACTGGGACTCACCTTCCCCCATAAGCAGGATCCAAGGTTCAGAGCAGACCCATGGACGGCAAGTGTTCAGATTCAGTGTCACTCAGAGCGTCACAAGCAGACTCGGGACTCACAAAGGGCTGGCCTTCTTTCCTGGAGCCCACCTACCTAAAACACAAACACACAGGCTCTATGAGGTTACACACGGCCTTGTCCATGAGGACCAAGCCTCAGCTAAACTGCTTTTTACATCCAGCAGAGTAGTACTTCTTAGGTATTAAAACGGGGGCTGGCATCATGGCACAGCAGGCAGGGCTACTGCTTGGGGCACCAGCATCCCGTATTAGGGCATCATTCAGTCCTGGTCACTCTGCTTCCCATCAGGAGCCCTGCCAAAGCAGTCGATGATAACCCAAGTACTTAGGTCCCTGGATGGAGTTCTGGGTTCCATGGGGGCCACTTGGGAGAGTGAACCAATGTATGGAAGATCTCTCTTTCTTCACTGCACTCTCTGTCTCCGTGCGTTTCAAACAAACAAATCTTTATTTAAAAAAGAAAAAGCATTTGAGTGTAAGGCACAGTGTGAGACATGAAGAAATGATGCCAGCAAGAGCTTGTCTGGGAACACTGTAGCTCCACACACGGGCAGCCTTCCCTTCCACAAAGGAGAAGTCCAAAAGGAGTTTCTCTGGTCAGATTGTATAGACTTTCTTCTTACCACCTTCAGCTGATGCAGCATTTACTGACTGCTACACTAACGTCCAGACACTGAGCAAGAGCCCACTGCGCTCCCAGACAACACGCTTGTCCCTCACCAGCTGCCCTGTGCACACTCTGCTTTTCCGGACGCACCTTTCTTCTCAGTTTAACTTTCTACTTTTTGACCTCAGGTTTGGTACAAGTGCTAGAAATGTGGTCTCCAGTCAAAAGAACCCATTTTCCACAACACCTCCTCTCTGCCGTGTCTTGACGCTGCTCCAGGGGTACAAATTCATGACCTCCACACACGCTAACGTGGCAACTTAGCAGGCTTATTCCCGAAAGCATCCAAGTCTGGAATTGTGAGACCATGGCACCAGAAACAGTTAGAAACTTGTGTCAAATGTCTGAGCTCTTCCAAGTCAACCGCTAGAGCACAAACAATAACACTAGCTGGAGTTGTTTCAAGCTCACATGCCTGATCCAATAGTACAAAGATGGAATGAAACAAAAGGAAATAAATGAGAAACACTGGGAGGACAATGCTGAGTAAAAACATCCTGCTTTGGTTCAGAGGCACCTTGGGAAGGCAGCCGTTCACAAGCAGTGCAGGGCTTGAGGGTGTGGATATTTCAGAAACCACTGGCATGCACACTCCAAAAAAGCGCATTTTATGGCATGTAAATTATATCTCAATTTTTTAAAGGCAATAAATGTTCAAAGGTAAAAAACCAGAAAAGAAAGCAATGGAGGAGCACTCGCATTAAGCATTACAGAATTAACACCATCCTCCAAAAACTGCATTAAAACGGTCTTAACAAAACAGTAAGGCATAAACCCACAAGCTGACCAGGATGCCAGGAGAAGAGAGAGCAGTGACAAGAGTGGCCACTTGGTGCTGGACAGGGCATAGATGGGTGGGTGGTCAGTGGCATGGAAGGCTGAAGATGGTGCCTAAAAGCAGAGGACTTGTGAGGACGCCCAGAGATGACCTCTTGGTCCCAGGGGTTCCAGAGGCAAGCTGGAGAGGTAAGTGGCGAAAACAAGAGCAGTCGCTGGAATTCTTCGTAAGGAAGCACCCCGGCCCTGGCAGTGCTACAGGCCTCTCGGGTTGAGTACTTTTTGATCCCAGGAAAGACAGGAGGCTTTCTCTCTAAGGGGGGGGGGGGGCGCTATTTAGGAGATGGATTCTATGGTCACAACTGGGACTCAAGTAGAGAAATGCGATTCTTAAAGTAGGGGATTACATGTAAGAGAACAAACCAAATCATGGCACCGCTGTCCCCTTCTCCCAAGAGCTTCTCAAGATTTTAGCAGCCAGGATAACTCTCAAATCAGAACTGAGAATTCATCTGTCAACAGTGTGTGTGGCCAAGACAAGGAACCTGTAGCTTCTGTCACTAACTAATCCCAGAGTTAAGCAGCCAGACCCCTGCTGACAGCCTGCAGGGCAGCCTACAGGGGAAAGGCCTCATCAAGTAACCCTCCAGTATGAAGGGCAGGGCTCCCACAAAAAACCAGAAAATAGACATTCAGTAAGAGAGTGCAGGGGCAGTAGAACATTACAACACCTCTAAGATGAATAGGACCTGTATACTCATAAAGCAAGAGCAGGGAGTCAGGAACCGAAGTGAAAAATAAAGAGCTCTCAGAGTTTAAACATAGATAGCAGAAATTACAGAAACAAAGGTGAACTGAAAGCATAGAGATGAGTTGAGATAATCTCCCAGAAAAAACAAAAGGAGAAGGACGTAGAAATAAGAGAGGTAAAGACAGAAAGTCAGAGAATTCATCAGAGGTGCAACATCTGAATAACACAGGCTCTTTAAGTAGAGTACAGAGAAATCAGAGAAGAATGAACGACTGGAAATATAATACACGGATGTGCCCACATTGAAAGGACCCAGTCAATACTCAGTAGGAACAGACGAAAAGCAGTTCCATCTCAAGATCATAAAACCTTTCAGATACTACACTCTGATCACCAGTCCTAAACCAAGTATCCTCAAAGGCATTAGACTCACATTACAGCAACACCAGAAGTGAGAAACAGCTGACTTTTCAGGGTAGATTTCTGGGTTTCCATAGAATAACACAGATATCTAAATGTAATCTCTCCACATCGTCTAAAACATCACTGATGGACAAAGACGAGAAACAAAGCTAGTTTACTGTATACTGTGGCACGACTACATGATGGTGAATGTGACACTTTGAATGAACTGAACTGCAATGATGGATACTGCTTCTTTGACCAGGAAAATGACCCTACAGGATGGACAGAATGAGGGGGAGTGTAGAGGAGGAGAGGAGGCTGAGGGGTCCCTGAGGCTGCAGAGCACAGGCAACATCAGTCCCAAGGGACGACTCCAGATTCCACCCCAAAGACAACGAGAACAGACTTCCTGGGGCGAAGCCAAAGCACCCAGCTGTGCACCAGGACAGAGATGATGAGCTGGGGGTGACGCACCTTAGAGGAGATGGAGGGCCTGGACGAGGAAGGCAGATCTCAGAATTGAGGTAGGAATAAAGAGCATACAAAAAGAGAGGAAATGAAGATAAAAGATAATAAAAAATAAAGTAAAAGATTACCAAGGAATTCGAAGACACACTGACTCACCCCATTTCCCAAGGTACCATGTAGGTTTTTAAAATCTGTAGAAAATAATGCTCTTGGACAAGGAAACCTGGCCAGCCACCCCAGGTCCCTCCACAGAGCCCTCCCTGTGGGCAACAGCTGACACTGCTAGTGTATGATCATCCAAGAACTTGTAAAATAAATAGAAAAAAAGGTGTGTAGAATTCCTGTGGGCAAACCATCTTCCCAAGGAGGCAGACCCACCTCTGAAGCCCAGGAGAGTCTGTGAGAAGGACTCGGAAAACAAGGGCTAGTTGGTGAAGTGACTCCCAGCCACAAGGCAGAGGAGCCCAGAGCTACAAAACAGCACACGCAGCAACAGAGACAAAAAACTAAGGCTCCCCATGGCTACAGAGAATTAAAATAAACTGAACAAGAAGCTGTGAATAGCCTATAAAAGAAACTAAAGAGAAAGACAAAACTCAGCTGAGAAATAAAGACTAATCCAAAAGGCACCCAGAAACTGAATTCAACTGAATGCATAAGGGTTACTGCAGAAAGGACCACGAACATCAAGAGAAAAAAAGCACAAAGCAAAAGGCTTAAAATGATAAAAGAAGAACTGACAGATACATAGAATGGGGCAAGAATGATCCAAGAAGCACATATCAGAATCCGCAAAAAAGAAAAGCAAAACCATGAAACACAGGTTAACACTTAAAATTAAAAACCTAGAAATGCCTTTAGGGGAACACAGCATCTCTGAACTGCAAAGGTTCTTCGGGCACCTGCACAAACTGGCCCACGATGGCCAACTCTAAGGCTGCCCCAGTAAGTTCTGAAAATGTAAAAGAAAATTCTTGGGACTCTCAGCAGAAAGACAGCTCATTGTGAGACACCACATCCACAGATTCAACCAACTGGGGTTCCGAAACATTCAGGAATAAGAGTGTCTTTAGTGAACATGTAAGACTCATTTCCTGTCCTTGCTCTCTAAACAATACAGGGTAACATCTATTCACACAGCATTTGCATTGTATTAGGTATTTTTTTTTAAGATTTATTTTATTTTATTTATTTGAAAGACAGAGTTATACAAAGAGGGAGAGACAGAGAGAGAGAGAGAGAGAGGTCTTCCATCCACTGGCCCACTCCCCAAATGGTCATAACAGCAGGAACTATGCAGATCCAAAGCCAGGAGCTTCGTCCAGGTCTCCCATGGAGGCGCAGGGGCCCAAGCAGTTGGGCTACCCTCTACTGCTTTTCCAGGCCACAGCAGAGAGCTGGATTGGAACTGGAGCAGCCGGGACTCGAACCGGTGCCCATATGGGATGCCAGCACTGCAGGCCAGGGCCTTAACCCACTGCGCCACAGCACTAGTCCCGTATTAGGTATTATATGTAGGTTTTATCTATATATACATATACATATATATAGGGTATTTTACATATATTATATTAGGTATTTTATTTATACATTTTATAATTTATACAAATGAATACATGTAAAATTACATACCTAGAATACATGTCAGTCGGTTTAACTCACCTATTAAGAGTTTCAAACTGACTCACAAAACCAACTCTGCTTTATACAGAAATTGCTAAGTGTTTAATAAAGGCTAAATATCAAAGAATGTCTAAAAGTGCACCAGCAAATAGGGGAGACAAAAACATAGAAGCAGGCTTCATAAAGCAGAAGCCAGAGTTGTCAGACAAAGAGACAGAAACACAGTAGTAATAACAAACCTACCACTTCACTGCCAGCCCAAAGCAGGCTACAGGGTCAAGCAAGCAGACACAAGAGAGCTGATGACATGAAGCAGCTATTAGGGACACACACACTGAACCCTGAACTCCACTGGCAGAGAACAGACATCCTTAAGCACAGC